CCTTTCTTGCACTGGGGATTGAACCCAAGGCCTTTGCACTAAGCTACACCCCCAGCTCTTTTTTATTTTGAGACAGGGTCTTGCTAAGTCACTAAGTTGCTCAGACTGTGCTCCAACCTGTGATCCTCCTGCGTCAGCCTCCCAAAGTACTGGGATTACAGGGGTGCGCCACTCTGCCTGGCCCAGCTTACTCTTAGATCAAAGTACCTTCATCCTCAGTAAAGACTGAGGCCAACATTTTATGCTGTGCACTGGAGAATCATCTATTGCTTTCCCTTCTTACCATTCTGAGTACTTCTTATGCATACACTAGGTGCTTAATTATGGCTCTGAACAATGGCTAAGAGCCTCTCCTTTGGAACTGTCCTTATCATCTGATGAAGATGACTCTGTCAAAACCTACAGAATTCCCCTGGGCTTCTAATATAAATAGTGAAGAGCAGGAATCACCATGCTCTACTTAATATTCCTCATGTCATTATCCTAGATTAAACACTAGTACCAAATGAAGCACCTACCTGCTTGCTCCTTGCATTTTCTCATTATTAGGCACTGCCACCTGGCTCCAACATGAATTGCCCTCATCTTCCCCTAGTTGGTATGACCCTAGTTGATGCAGTCTGGTTTTTCCATGATTCAGGTATCATAAGAGGAGCACTGTAAGAAGTTGTGAACTCAGAAGGGAATGATATGTGGGAACCTTTCCGGGCAAACATTTCCACCTTAAAATGGAAGGTTCCCATGACAGTCTGATTTATCATTGACGAGCTCCTTGACTGATTGTCATGGTGATGATGGGAGGTAGCTAAAACTGGGAGAGGCTTGCAAAATGCTGCTAGGAAATATAGCTGTGATTTTTGCTAAGATCATTTCTGAGGATCTGGGATGGAGACTCCTCTGTCCTGGCTCCCTCACCATTCATGCTGGCATCCTGGGAGAGAAAGGACAATGTGAAGGGGCTGAAACACCTCTGGGGAGATAATGTGTTCATGTCTCTAGTGATTCTAGTCCCACATCACATGCACTGAAATGATGACTGAGGTCAACTGTCTTGCAGGAGAATTTTGGAAGACAAGAACAAAACTTTGAGTCACATTACAATGAGATCTTGGAAACACTTGCCCAAAAGTATGAAGAAAAAATACAAGCTCTAGGAGAGAAAAAGAAAGAGAAGCTGGAGGCCCTGTATGGACAACTGGTCAGTTGTGGGGAAAACCTCAATACCTGCAAAGAACTGATGGAAACCATAGAGGAGATATGTCATGAGGAGAAGGTTGATTTCTTAAAGGTCAGTAATGAGACAAAATGAAACGTAAAGAACAAAAATGAAATCATGAACCAAAATAACAGTTATGGCTAGGGAAGGTCAGGTTGTCCTCTTTCCCCCTGGGGTGTTGGAATTGAGCTTTAGAGTGTTCGCTTGAGGCCTCCAAACATTCACAATAGGGAGGTCGTGGCCCCGTCATTCTACAGAGCTTTGTCATGAGTGGCCAGGCTCCTGCACCACTGACCCTTTCCTACCACCCCAACTGATGCAGCACCTCTTTCCTGGCGACTCAGAAATCTGTCACATTGTCTTGGAGCTGAGTACAGACAGTGCCCTGAGAGTTTTTTTGGCCACTCGGATAGCCTCTTATTGCTCTGAGGAGAAAGTTGTCCAAGCTAAAAAACAAACAAACAAAAAAACCCCACTAAACTAAAATTTCACAGTTACAGGGGCAGGAATTATAAATCTTACTGCATAAACTTAGACATGCACCCCAAAAAATTCATTTCTTAATTTCTTCAAGTCAAATCTGACCCAAGCCCCGTGTAACTGGGCTGTGAGAATTTCAATCTCAGTCAGAGCTGGAGACCCCTTCCTCCATAAGGACTATGGGGCAGGTGTGGTGTCCAGAACGTGGAGGAGGAGCTTCCAACTCCAGAAGCTTCCAGGCTGCCAAGTGTGCCCCTCAGATTGTCTGGGCCAACAGCGGCTCCTCAAAGCCCAACCGCATTGCCTTCCTCCCACACTTGGGGAAGAGATGGTGACTAAACCAGACAGCAATCTGCAGGCACCGTGAGAGACATCCACACTTAGGCCTCTTGCACCAGGGTTCCCACAATGCCACTGTGTCTTAGAGACACAATCCAGAATAGGAAGGGGGGTGACACTGTGAAGGTATTCTTCTCACCATTGTTTATGATGGCAAAAATTGGAAACAACCAAAATGCCCAACAGTAGAGGAACAGTGAAGTGAACAGTGGACTTTCCATTCAATGAACTGCTTGTAGTCTCTCAAATCAGGGGTCCACAGATGGTCTATGACATGGGAAATGCTCACTTCTGTAAATGGGAAAAGCCATAGTGTGAAAGGAATGCACAGACACATTTGAGGATGTGGATACAGCTGATTTTTTTCCTTTTCCTACTTTCCATTGTATGTTTACATACAAGATTTATTTCCAGAGTCAACAGTTTTCCTTTTCTCTTCCTTTGTAGGATGCAGTGGCCATGACTGACAGGTAAAGCTTCTACTCTGACATGTATTTCCTACTCTGTTCCTTCTACCTCTGGACTCAGTTGTGCTGGGGTCTATGCTTCTGGTTTCAGCTTCTGGGTCTCATCTTCTATGTAAAATAGCACTGGCTGCAGAATGGTGGTGTAGGGTCACAAGGAACCTCTAGAATTGAATCTCAGGAGTCTCAGGGCCAAAAGGGAACCCAGTCAGCAAACCTGTGGCCAGGTCTCCACAAGCCTTTCTTTTTACCAGGAGAAGCAGGGATCTAGAAAGCTCCCCAATACCCGCAGCTGTTCTAGGGCCATGGAGCTGGAGAAAGCATGCATAGTTTAGAGGCAGACAGATAGAAGTTCCTACCCTGCTACCCCTGTGCCCTGGGTGGATTCAACCTAAGGACCCACATTCCCTGTTTACACACAAGGTCAGTTTTGTGAGAAGCTAGTAAGACAATGTGTACAAAGCAACGTGAACGTTGAAACTTAGTGCTCCAGGGGTTAAACACATGGATTTTGGCAAAAGTCGACCTGGTTTCAGATCCTTGCTTTGTCACTTAGAAACCTTTCGATTGCCAGGAGAAGACTCGGAGCCCGGAGAGAAGCACCTTGAGGGCACTCCAGGACCCTGTCTGAGCCCTCTGTACATCTTAGGGCCTGGGGTGCTGTGGGTGAGAGAGTTTCCAGGTTAGCCACAGAGGAATCCTCCACAGGTGGGGAGTGGTCATCCTCCCAGCCACCCTCTGACACAACCTTTCCCTTTTTCCTCCCCTTTGAAGGCACAAACCAGTTCCACACACCCCCACTGGTGACCTCCTAGGTAGAAGACAGCCAGCAGCGTGTTAGGATGGAAAAGCTAAGCAAAGAGGGCTCTTCATTCGCTACCAGTGACACAGCACCCAGAGATACCCTAGGAAGCACACCCCATGTTCATGCCACTGTGTCTTTGTATACAAACAGGCTCGGAAAATTCCTGAAAACAAAAACAGATGTGGAAATCTCTGCACAGCCTCACTTTGAAGACCAGACCTTGGACTTCTCTGATGTGGAACAGCTGATGGGTTCCATGAACACCATTCCTGGTGCGTATCCCACCTATGGGCTACCTTCACAGCAAGCTCAGGTCTCCAGGAGCCTGTGTGTGTGTGTGTGTGTGTGTGTGTGTGTGTGTGTGTGTGTGTGTGTGTGTGTGTACACACTGAACACCAGATCTATCCGTCCTCATAACATATCTTACTGTGTGGTGCAGTACATCTCCAGAACTTACTCGTCTTGTAGAACTGAATCTTTATACTCACTGAGCAACAATTCCCTGTTGATTTCTCCCCAACCCCAGCCCCTTGACAGTTACCACTCTGTTCTCAGCTTCTGAGTTTGACTATTTGCGGTATCTCATACAGGTGGAATCATATAGTATTTGTCCTTTTGGACTGGCTCGTTTCACTTAGCATAATGTCCTCTAGATTTATCCCTGTTGTCACAAATTTGAGGACTTCTTTTTTTAAGACTGAGTAATATTATATGTACATTGTCTTCATCCATCTGTTCATAGATATTTAGGTTGTTTCTGTATCTTGGCTATTGTGAATAATTCTGCAGTGAACATGGAGTGCACGTATCTCTTCCAGATCCCAATTTCACATTCTTTGGGGTTTATACCTAGAATGGGACTACTGGAACATATGGTACTTCTACTTTTACTGTTTTACTTTTATTGTTTTCCATAGTGGCTACACTAATTTACATGCCCACTAGCAGTGTAGAAGGGCTCCAATTATCTACATCCTTGCCAACACTTACTATCTTTTGCTCCCCACCTACCCAGTATTGGGGATTGAACCCAGGGCCTTCACACTAAGCTACATCCCCAGGCCCCTTTTTATTTTGAGACAGGTTCTCATTAAGTTGCCAAAGTTGGACTGGAACTTGCAATCCTCCTGCCTCAGCCTCCCAGAGTGCTGAGATTACAGGCATGCACCACAATGCCCAACTATCTTTTGCTTTTTGATAATAGCCATTCTAGTAGGCATGAAATGATACCTCATTGTGGTTTTGATTTCCATTTCTCTGAAGATTAGTGATGTTGAGCACACACTCGTATATTTGGTGGCCATTTATTTGTGTGTCTTCTTTGGATAAAGATCTAATCAGGTTCTTTGCTCATTTTTTTTTTTTTTTTGGTACTGGGGATTGAACTCGGGTCCTTGTGCTTGCACAGCAGGCAGTGAAACCACTGAGCTAAATCCCCGGCCCCTTTGCTCATTTTTAATGGAGTTATTTGGATTTTGGGGTTTTATTGTTTACTGTTGAGTTATAGGAGATTCTTATATTGGATATTAGTCTCTTATATTGGGGGCAATGTTTTGTTTTGCTTTTTTGTTTTGTACTGGAGGTTCAGCTACATCCCAAAACTCCCCTTTTTCAATTTTATTTTGAGACAGGCTCTAGCTAAATTGCCCAGGCTGAGCCCAAATTTGGGATCTTCCTGCCTGAGCCTCCCAGAGTGCTGGGATTACAGGTGTGCACCACCATGTTTGGCTGGATATTAGTCTCTTAATCAATATAAGATGTGCAAATAGTTTTCCCCAACTTCAAAGGTTGTCTCTTAACTCTGTTGATTGCTTCTTTGTTGTGCAAAATCTTTTTAGTTTAGTGAAGTCTTGCTTATCTATATTTTTTGTTTTATTGTCTGTGTTTTCCATGTCAAATCCAAGAAATCATTTCAAAACCAATGCCAAGAATCTTTTCCCCAGTATTTTCCTCCAGGTTTTTACAATTTTAGGTCTTTTGTTCAAATATTTAGTCCATTTTGAGTTGATTTTTGTGAAAGGTGTAGGATCAGATTTCATTCTTTTGCATGCTTATCCAGTTTTCCCAACACCATTTTTTGAAGAGATTATTCTTTCTCCTTTGTGTGTTCTTGACAACTCTTTTAAAAAAGTCAAGTGACATATATATATGATTTTATTCTTGGCTCTGTAGTCTATTCTATTGAATAGAATATGTTTATGCCAGTACCATATGGTTTTAATGACTGTGCCTTTGTCATATATTTTAATGTCAGGAAGTGTGATACCTCTAACTTTATCTTTTTCAAGACTGCTTTGGCTATCTAGGGTCTTATGTGATTGTATATGAATTTTAGATTGTTTTTTCTATTTCTATAAAACATGCTATTGAATTTTGATAGGGATTGCATTGAATCTGTAGATTGTTTTGAGTAATATGGACATTTTAAGAATATTCTTCTAATATGTGAACATAGGATGTCTTTCCATTTATTTGAGTCTGTTTTAATTTCTGTCATGTGTGTTTTGTTTTCAGTGCAGTCTTTCACCTTCTTAATTAAGCTTATATCTATTTTATTACTTTTCTTTTTTTAGTACTGGGGATTGAACTTGGGACCTTGCTTTTGTGAGGTAGGCAGTGGAACCACAGAGCTAAATCCCTGGCCCCTCTATTTTATTCTTTTTGGTACTATTATAACACTATATCTTGAATGGGCCTAAGAGGCATGTACAGAACAGTCTATCCAACAACAGCACAATACATATTTTCTCAAGTATAAATGTCACATTACCAAAGGTAGATTATAAGTTAGCATAAAACAAGCATTAACAATTTAAAAAGACTGAAATCCTATAAAATGTCTTTTCTGATCACAGTGGTATGAAGCTAGAAATCAATAACAGGAAGAAAATTTGAAAATTCACAAATGTATAGGAATTAACACATACCTGAAAAACCAATGAGTCAAAGAAGAAATCAAAAGGGAAATAGGGGCTGAGTGTGTGGCTAAGTGGTACGCACTGTCTAGCAGCCATGAGACTCTCAGAACCAAAAAGAAAGAAAATTTATCTTAAGATAGATGAAGATTAAACGTACCATACCAAAACTTATGGGATGCAGTAAAAGCAACTCCACTTTGAATCACAAATCTTTTGGCTGACATGGAAGATTTCTATTGAATAGTTTGAATAAACTTGGTGGGGAGGGAAATAAAATTGCAGAGAACTGCAGAGCACTAAAACTTAAAAAAAACAAAAAAGCAGTTCCACCAGAGAAATTTATAGTGATTAATGCCTACATTGAGGAAGAAGGATCTCAAATTATCAACCTAACTTTAAACCTCAAAGAATTAAGAAAAGAAAAATCAGTTTAAGCCAAGTGTAGCAGGAATTAAGAAGTGCAGAAATAAATGAAATAGACTAGAAAAACAATAGGAAAATTAACAAAATAAAAGTTTGTTAAAAAATAAACAAAACTGACAAACTATCAGCCAAGCCAAGAAAAAAATAGAGGAAACAAAATTAGAAATAAAAGAGGAGGGCTGGGAATTTAGTTCAGTGGTACTGCGCCTGCCTCGCAAGTGCAAGGTCCTGAGTTTGATCCCTGTTACCACAAAAAAAGAAAGAAAGAACGAACGAAAGAAAGAAAGAAAGGAAGGAAGGAAGGAAGAAAGAGGAGACATTATGACTAATGGCACAGAAATACAAAGGATCATAAAAGAATATTATGAACATTTATACACCAGCAAGTTGGATAACCTAGAAGAAATGAATTAATTCTTAGAAACATATACTCTTCCAAGACTGAATCATGAAGAATAGAAAATCTGAACAAACCAATAACAAGTAAGGAGATTGGATCAGTAATCACAACCTCCCTGGGGGGGAAAAAAAAAGAGCCCAGGATCAGATGACTTGGAGAATTCTACTATATTTAAAGGAGAATTGAGCCAAGTGTGGTGGCACACACCTGTAATCCCAGCACACTGGGAGAGTGAGGTAAGAGGATAGCAAGTTCCAACCCAGCCTGGGCAATTTAGGAATTTAAGAAGACCCTGTATCAACATTAAAAACAAAAATTTTAAAGGTGCTAGCATGTAGCTCAGTTTATAGGCCCTGGGTTCAAATCCCAGTACGAAAGGAAGAAAAGAAAGAAAGAGAAAGAAAGAAAGAAAGAAAGAAAGAAGGGAAGGAAGGAAGGAAAAGAAAGTGAGAAGGGGGAGGGAGGGAGGGAGAAAGGAAGAGGAAGGAAGGAAGGAAGAAAGAATGAAAGAGAAAGAAAGAAAGGGAGAGAGAAAGAAAGAGAAAAGAAAAAAAGGAATTACCCTCTTACTGAAACAAAACAAAGACAAGGAAAGAAAACTACAGGGCAGTGTTGGTGATGAACATAAGTGCAAAAATTATCAACAAACTTGTAAGAAATTGAGTCATCCAGGGCCGGGGATTTAGCTCAGTGGTTTCGCCGCCTGCTGCACAAGTGCAAGGACCCAAGTTCGATCCCCCCCGGTACCAAAAAAAAAAAAAAAAAGAAATTGAATCATGCAGCACATTTAATATACCATGGATTGAGTGAGATTTATCTCTAAGATGCAAGGATAGTTCAGTGTATGCAAATCAATACATGTGATAGATCACATTAACAGAATGAAGTATAAAAATCATGTGATCATCTCAGTAGATGCAGAAAATGCTTTGATAAGATGTGATACCCAGGCCAGGGATTTAGCTCAGTGGCACCACACCTGCCTCACAAACACAAGGTCCTGAGTTCGATCCCTGGTACCAAAAAAACCCCCAAAATGTGATACCCTTTCATGATTAAAACAAACTCAACAAATTAGATAAAAAAGGAATGTACCTTAATATAATAAAAGTCATATATTACAAATCCACAGTTCACATTCAACAACGAAAACTAAAAGCTTTTCTTCTCTAATATGTAACAAACCAAGGATGTTCACTTTCAACACTTTTTCCTCATGTTTGTTTTATTTTTATTAGTACATTTTTGCAATACATAATAATTATATTCCTCCAAAGGAGTTGATAAATGTACATAACACATCTTAATTCTGTGTCCCCTTCCCTCCCGGCTGCATTTTCCCTGCTCTCCTTTCCTTTCCCTCCAACTCTTTTTTTCCCATTATCTACCTTTTATTTTGCTCTTTATTTATATTTTGGGTTTCTCATATAAGGAAAAACATGTGATATTTAAGCTTGTGGGTCCAATTCATTTCACTTACCATTACAACCTCAAGGTGCATCCATTTTCCTGCAAATGACTAAAGTTTATC